TATGGTTTCTAAGCCAAAAATGTTCCATCTATATATCAATTTCATCTAAACGTTTACTAATGTTTGAGTTGTTGCGTTTTCGTGTTCTAGTATTGCATCAAAAAGTAATCCTTGCTGTAACGAGTTAAATTCATATTAAGATTTTGAGCATCTTGAACTTTTGATGGATTTCATTTAAAGAAATAATTCCAAGCAATGCTCCTTCTTTTACTTTCTCCTCGTAAATTATTTATTTATTAGTATGAGTTTGAGGACTAACGATATTTAAAGATGGTGTTGTTTCTAGACTTGGAGTAGGCTACAAATATAACAATCATGTTTGTTGTAATAGCATAATTTTTTGCAAGTGAAATAAGTGAGTTATAAATAAAAGGGGAATTTTTCAATTAATCAATCAGTCAAAAATAGATTTTTTGAGCCAACAGGATTTATTCAGCTATTAATTGGTTTTCCTGCAAAAATAATTCAGAAATCTGTCCTATTAAAGCTGTGTTGACTTCAAAGATGCCATTTATTGGTGTTAATGGAATTGATGCAATACAAAGGTGTCCAGAGTTGCATTGTCATATTTTCATGATCTTCCTGTTTAATAATATTCTCAAACCAAAAAGTTAATACAAAGACAAATTATCAAACGCTTGTGTTAACATTTACAAAATGAGGCTGACTGCCATCTGACATTTCAATGAATATAAATTGAATTATTCATTTGAATTATTTATTCATTTTATTCAAATTATCAAATTATTCGAATAAACTTTCAATGTAATTCGAATACTCATAATAATGAGGAACAAATAATTCGAATAGTCAAGGTTGCATGTGGCAGTCTTAGGCTTTGAGTATTGTGCACTGTAAGAGCAAATGCATTCTGCAACGGAAATTGACACCTTGATGCCGGTATGTCATTGATATCAAAATTTGCAACGCTTTTTTGAACGTTGATTTTCATCACATTGTTAGTTTTGGGAACGTAACTTCCACATTGTCATCATCAACGACTTTAGTTATCACTCCTGTTGTCCCATTGCAGATGTTGTGCTCGAACAGTTTATTGTTCAAAGAACATGACCCTCGCTCCATCCTGAATTGTAATGGATTTTCGGAGGTTCGTGTGATCATTGAAAGGCAAAGTTGCTAGACCACCATCAATCCTTTCACGATTTAAAGCGTCGACTACGGGGAAACAATAGGATCGGAGCACCGGTCATCAAAAGATAAGTGCTGGCAAACGAAGGCGTTTATTTGGTCTGATATTTCACGGGTACCAACAACGTGGGTGGTGCTTATCATCATCGGTGTTCATTCTGAACGCTTTGTAGTTGACCTCCACATATGTTTGTTCTTCTACATGGCACACAGCCTCCACAGTTACCGTATGTGTCCCACTGGCTGACTTGATGAACATGGTTGATGACAAGATAGACGACATAATAGGTTTTTTAAGTGGATTTAATAACAAATAAAGAAATACTATGCAAAAAACAAGTGAGTAAAAAACATTCGAGAGGTGAATCGGCTAGTTTTTTATTCATTTATTTATTTATACATCGCAGATAAAGGTCAATTTGATCGATTAGATGTTTTTTTCAAGTCTACATCACCATAGAAGAATAAGTTTTACAAATTTCGATTGTTAAAAAAATCAACTTCCCTTAATCAAAAAAAAAAAGATCTTCGCAAAGAAGTACCCTCTTGTGAATCAAAGGCCATTTGCGAATTTCGTTTGTTAAAAAAAAATTAATATCATCATCATTATCATATGTTTATCTTCCAACCATCATTCCAAATGAGTGTTTTTTAATATCATCATCTATGAAGTTAGTATTTTCGTTACAATATCCTTTAAATCGAAAGTTGAAAAATTCTTCATTATTGATTCAGGTTGTTGCCTCTCCAATAAATAAGGTTTTTTTAACATAATTTACTTCTCGATAAAACATAACACAGTGATGATTGTTGTCATTTTTTAAAATTAAAAAAATGATTATGAATAGTGTGCGTGCATATTAATATGTGTATATATGTATTTAAAAAGCTTTTTACCGCAGATGAAACTTTACATTTTTTAACATTAACGTTTTTTTTTTTAACTTAAAAAAGAATAATAATTCCACGTTACTATTGTTTACTATTTACAAAATTTACAAATATTTATTCTACTACTGCTTACCACCAGTTTTTTCGCACTAAAGCTGTTCTCTCAAAATGAGAAAAATCATGAAGAAAAAATTTTGATTGGCACAAAATATTGCGAATTATTCTCTGAATAGAAAATTGGAGTTATTTAAAACAATATCTATGAAGCCACGCAGATTTTGATTTAATATTAACAATAAAGGAAAAAGACTTTTTCTGCTTGATAATGCTGTGCCATAAAAATTAAATCAAAAATCTTATTTTTTTTTTTTATAAATTAAACGTTTGTCCATTAAAAAAAAAATATTTGGATAGCTTATTTATAATGATAATAATAACCAAAAGCATAGGCTTTAATTTTGTACAACTTCAAAATCCAAAAAAGGTTTTAAATAAGAGAATTGCTATTTCTCACCGGTGGTGATTGTCACCACCCAAGGAATTAAATTTGCGTGGGGCGGAGTTAGGGTTGGGGGTTAATCAAAAATTGTATAATTCCTTAGGTGGTGACAATCACCACCGGTGAGAAATAGCAATTCCCAAAAAAATATTCAAAGAAAAATATTTAAATCACTTGAGGATTCCAAAACTTGACTAATTAATAATTTAATGTATTATTTTTAATATGTAAAGAAATTTTTTTATTGCGCGTAACAATAAAAATAGGGTATGTAGTTCTATTTTTATATTTGCACGAATTATTCTAAAGAAGGTATCTGGCCTACAATTCCCCATTTTTTATTAAGCAAGCAGGTAATATTTTCACCAATTATAGTTTACATGTTATAGGTTAATGTTACGTAAAAAACTTAAATTTGACCAGGAGACCTCGGAACCAGTTTTTGTTAGAGAATCCCTCCCCATATATAATATGGGGCATGCTGCAACAAAAACCAGGCAAAGTGAACATGGGTGTTACCAATGATTTCAGGGATCAAAATTTAGTCATTTGTAATATGATTGTATGGTTGGCTCGGTCTAAAGACCTCCTATTGCTGCGCCACGTGGACAAATTTCAAAATAGCGATTTCGTGATTCGTTCAAAAATGCAATAAATTTTTTTAAAAAAAGGGTTTCACGTGATTTTGGTTAAAAAATTATTTTCCTTACTGCCAAATTTAGATATGATGGTCGAGTATTAGTCTAAATTTAGTAAGGATGATCAAAAAATAGTCTAAATTTAGCAATGATCTTAGTGGACAAATTCCTCGCGAGCATAGTAAAGTACATGTTTTAAAAAAGAATAGAACTCTACAACAAAGAATTTTTTTGAGAATATCTCGTTATTACATTAAAACTAAAGACCTATTCTATCAACTAATAACGCTATTTTTTTAAAATGTAGGACAGAAAATGACTTCTATACTTTTAAAATTTGCTCAAAATTTGGGAGGTCTTTAGACCGAGCCAACTATACCTGTGTTTTTTCAAAAAAAAAAAGGTATACTTTTCTTTACATTCCCCAAAAGCATAAAGGTGACACAATGATTTAAACATGGAATATGTTGAAGTCCATTTTTGCTAAATATAAATATCTAAATTGGATCACCTGATCCATTACAGTCGAGGATATCACCAAATATGGAATTTCTAAATACTGTAATGATATATAGACAATCTAGAACAAAAATGATTGGCTAATTTTATGCAGATCTTTTCTTTGAAATAAAAAATAATGCTTTTTTATTTGGCGAAGGCTTTATTAAATGGTCATATAACCTCCAAAATTATGTATTATGTTTATTTTTAACTGCTTTACGAGTCTATCAAAAAATAATCAATAGCTTCAAATTATAATCATAAAGTTACCATAAAAACTTAATAACTTTTTTCATAATGGTTAAATATACTGATGAAATGTTTGAGTTATCATTCATCAGGAATATTGTTATTAAAATTAATAAAATTAATAAATAGTATCATGAAATATATTATAATTATAAATTAATTTGTAAACTTTTTGGATATAAATAAAGTCTATGCCAAATTTTGTATGCGTGTTTATATATATATATTTATTTACTTCTTTACCTGCTTATCTATTGTTCATTCGCTGTTGTGAGTCAGGTTTACATGGCCACGGTTGACTCTCTGGATATTTGCCAATTATATCTTCAAACAAACATTTTAAATTCTTAGCTAGTTGTCCTGTATTCGCCATCATGGGTATAATTAGAATTAAAGATCTGGGTACTGTACAAACAAACATAAAAAAAAAATAGCAAATAATCGAAAATTCAAGCCAAGCTATGGTTCATATTGAGGGAAAAAACTAATGTGTAAACCTTTTCGGATGAAGACGGATTAATAAACTGTATATTCAAGAGTGTATATTAACTATGTAATATTATTGGTTTTTGGTATATATTCAAATCAAAAATTCGAAAATCAATTTCCATTTATGGTATAATTCCAGACTGCATTAGGATGATATTTTCCCTTTTAAATTCCTAAAATTAGTATTACCAAATTAAGCAACAAATCATGTTAATGCGAATCTTTTTTTAATAATAAATATACTTTAAACTTTTTAACTAGACATAAATTCTCAATTTTACATTTATTATAAAATTTCCTTGATACAATGGCGGCAAATTTTTGGACTTCTACGCATGGGTAAATACTTTATTTATAATTAGTGTAAATAATTAGTGAAATTCTCAAAACTAAAATTCTCCCTAGTCAGAATTGGTTACTTAGCAAACAGCAACTTTTGGATAGTAGACAGGAAGATTTAAAATACATAAATGAAAGTGAATTGTATAAATTAAATATATGGTTCGCTTATGGTAAACAATTAATTATAATGTTGTATAAAGAATAATAATTATTTAATATTAATATGATGATGATTTTTAGTAATGACAGAACTTGGTAGACGACTAAATGTAAGACAAGTTGTCATATCAACGGCAATTATATACTTTAAAAGATTTTACGTAAAGTAAATATTAATAGTACAATCACATTATTCATTCATTCATGCATGCATTTTTATTTATATAAAAATTTTTTTTTGCTTGTATTAAAGAGACTGAAATGGTTTATTTATCTTTCTTTGATGATTTATTATAGAAATTCATATAGAAGTGTTGAACCAATGTTGGTATTGACAGCATGTATGTATTTAGCGAGCAAAATCGAAGAATTTCCACTTCATATCAAGACAGTTACTGCTGAAACAAGAGGACTTAAAATGAGTAAGAAGAATATTTTATTTTGCGTTTTATGTTTTATGATTTTTTCCAAAATATTAACTCTAAATTCATAAATTTCCAAAAAAGATAGGTTTACTTATAATAGTCAAGAAGTGGCAGAAATGGAATTTTATTTATTAGAAGAATTGAATTTTAATATGATAGTCTTTCATCCTTATCGTTCACTTATTCAAATTTCAAAAGCTTTTGGAACCAAACATGAAGATGTTAAAATGGCATCTTATATAATAAACGATACATATAGAACAGATTTATGTTTATCATATCCACCATATGTAATTGCAGTTGCTGCATTATTCTTACCAATTGCAATCAAAGAAAAATCTAATCTTTCAATAATAAATGAGAATGATAAAAATAATGATAATGATATTAGTAAGGAAAATGGAGTTGTCACTAGAAGAAATTCAAGAAAATCAATTAAAAATGAAGAAATCAATAATATCAATAATGGTAACAATTATAAAGATATTAAAGATATTAAGAAATGGTTTTCTGAGTTAAATGTTGATATGGAACAGGTAAATATATATATAATTCGTAAACTCATAATCATGATTTATTGGTGTTGGTTGATATTTGTAATATATATTAATTAATTATTAATTATTAATTTTTATTTTTTTTTATTATTTTTTTTCAAAAAATTTAGGTTGTAGAGATTGTACAAGAATTAATTGTATTATATGATTTTTGGAGTGAATATGATGAAGACAAGTCATATTCTGAAATTGATGGCATTTTGAAAAAATTACTAATTAAATAAAAATTAGTTATTACTTGATATTTAACATATAAATCTGCTACAATAAAGAAGTTTTGAAACGAATTCAACATTTTTAACCAAACATTTTGAGAAAAGTGGTACACGGTCTCGATTTTAACAATTTGGACAATTAATATTAGCATCGGAGTTAACCGAGAAAATCCATTATATCGAGAGAATTTACTATTACTACAGATCGCTCACCATAGACTCGATCCATTAAATCGAGACTTTTATTAGATATCCGCTAAATCGGAATTCACTTTTTTTATTATGAATTTCCATAAAAGTAACCAGAAAATCTAAAATAGAAAGTGAGTGGTGATGATCTTGGTCCAAGAAATTAAAAAAGTCCAAGCGCGCTTTTATATTATTATGCGTAGTTAACTTCATTAAGTTAACACAACTCATGTGCTATGTAAAAAGTTGCTCTACGTACCAGTATTGACTTGCCTATGTGTGTGTTTCAAACCTGGCATTAAAGACAATTCGAACGCGGTTTTATTATTTTAAATATTCAATAGTAAATGATTTGACAAATGAACACATGAAATACTATAGCATGTCCCATTTCATAGATAAATCAGTTTAAGATTAAGTCTAGTATCGGATTTGTGATATTTTTATTTGGAGAAAAGGAAGAAAATCAAAGGTGTCAGAATAGCAAATAATAATGAAATAATCAAACAAAAAAACTTCACAGTGATTGAACCTTCCAACTCTTAAATATGGCATATAACTTGATCATTATTTCCAGGAGATTTTTATTCATTAAGAAACATATACAAATGCTAATTGACTTATCTGAGATAATAATCTCGAGTTCCTTTTGGAATGTTATTTTTTTATAACTATATAAAGGTTGTCTGTCCTTTATTGATATAAAAATGTTATCAGTACCTGCAATTTCTGTGAATTACGCGTTATAGAGCTAGTATTTGTGAATTGAATTTAAAATCATTAGAATTTAGGCGAATTAGAAGTAGATAATATGGACCTGGTAAATTTACCCTGGGATTAATCCCGTTTAGTAGTAGTGCGAAATCAGTCTTGAAATACAAATTTGGAAAATCGCCTTCAAGCTTCATTTCATGTTCAGCTCGGCGTAGACGGTAACTTTGCAAAAAGCTTAGCCCCAATGAACAAAGTTATCTAAAAATATCTATGCTGAGTTGAAAGGTTTTAAAGTCAGGTGATTTTTATATCATATTAATTAATATAAGGAATTATATCTGTCTGATATAACTTTCTTGAAAAAAAGAAACTTCGGAAAGTCATTGTACTGTATCACATACTTTGGCATAAAAGGAAACTGATGCAAAAAGAACGATCAGAAACAATCTTGGATGGATATAATAACAAAGAAGTTTCGTTTACGCATTGCAAATGAAATTTTCAAAAAAAGCAATTGTGTTCAAATCAAATCAAAAAAAAAAATTTTTTAATATTAAAAAAAATTCGACGATTTTCAAAGTATTTGTTTAAAAAATGCTAAAAATTTTTAAAAAAGAAAATGAAAAAAATAATGAAAATTTATTAAATAGTAGTAGTAGGACTTATAATTGTAGCCCTACCCACAGTCAACGGACTAGCACTAGTATTATTAATAATAGCACCACCACTAGTAATAATGATAAAATTCATACAACATCTTCAACAAGGGAAATGATAGTCACAAGTGGACAACTATTATTATCAACTATAGAAGATAGTTTTAGTAATTATTTACCAGCAATTCAGAAAATTACTGCTTTATGTGAAAAAATTATAAAAAGTTACGAGACAGTTAAAGAAAATAAAAAAATATGTAGAGTATTAATTGATAGAGTTGAATTGACTCATATAGCAGTAAAACAATTAGTTAGAACCAGGCAAGAGAACGAAGAAAAATTTCGTGATCCGGAATACTTCAAAGCATTTGACAGATTGCAAAAGACTTTAGAAAATATTGAAACCTTTATTAAAAAAATATCAAACTATGGAGCATTCAGGAAGTTTGATAATGCTGACAGTGTTAAAAAATGCTTTGAAGATTATATTAATGATTTGGAACAAGTTAGTAAAGATTTGGGTTTTAATATAACACTTCGTATTTATCATGATTTGAATGATTTGAAAGAAAATAATGAGAAATACTCTAAAATGTGGGAAAATTTTAATAAATCTTTTAAGGTTAATAATAATAATAATTTTTTTTTAAAAAAAAATTACTTGATTTAATAGATTTATTAAATACCATCAAATTCTGTTTAGAATGTAGGGAAATCGGAAATAGATCAAGTAGTTTTAATAGGAAAAATTAAAAAATCTTTGAAATCCAATGATTTTGAATCTAAGGAAGAACTCTTCAAAATACCAGAAATTGATACTAAAGACATAGAGGATGTGAAACCACAATACAAAAAGGCAACAGATATAAGAGGGAAAGATAGCAATGTAGTTAAGAAAGTATTAAGGAAAACAATTGATGTAGCATGTAAATATATTGTAGGAGATTTAAAGGATGACAATGATTCTGTAACCAAAAAGTATTCCGGGCAACTTATAATATTAAATGCTATCCAATGTGAATATATTGTTAAATTCTATGGTATTTCAAATGTTGATTCTCGTAAAGCTTTAATATTTGGTTGGGCAGAAAAAGGAAATTTAAAAGATTTATATGAGACTCATTATATTGATTGGATTACAAAATTAAAGATTACTCATGATATTATCAAGGGTCTCATATTCATACATAGATGTAAATATTTGCATCGAAATGTTAGATGTGAGAATGTTTTAGTAAGTTTTTTTAATAAAAACAAAAATATTGTATTAATATTAATATTAACACTAATAATATATATACATATTTGTAGATTGATGAGAATGGAAATCCCAAAATTTCAAATTTTGATCTTAATCGTGCACTGTTTCAATTATCTAAAAGAACAGAAAAAATAGAAGATTATCTTCCTTGGTTAGCACCTGAAAAAATACTTGTTGATCACGCAAAACCAAATTTGCAGCCTTATGACTTTCCTTGTGAAATGTTTAGGTGATTGTTTTCATGAATCTATAAATATAAATTTATAAACAATATTATCATTTATAAATAAATAAATGATTTTTATTTACTTTTTATTATTATTAGTTTTGGAATGCTTCTTTGGGAACTTACATATCAACAAGTTCCGTACAAAGGAAAAGGTTCAGAAAAGATTAAAGATCATGTTTTAAGTGGTCAAAGAGAAGTAATAAAAATTGGAAAATACAATAAAGAAATACAATCAAATTTAATTAGAATTATTATAAAAGGTAATAATAACATTATATAATTATAATAACAACAACAACAATGACAACAACAATAATAATTTTACAATATAACATTACTATAATTTTTTTTTTCGGATGCTAGCTTGGGAAGTTTTACCACATGATCGACCTACTTTTGATGAAGTCATGGATATATTGACAGGGTTATGGAAACCATATGAAAGTTGTAATTATTCGGCTAAATTTCTTGCAAAAAATGAAATTTCAGCTGATAAACTTCATGTTTATAATATCGAGATGCCAACAGATTTCGAAAAAGTGGAATTCAAAAGGAAAGCTTTTGAGCCATTGATACCACTGGAAGAGGGTAGAAAAGCCTATAAAGAACATCAAGACTTTAAGAAGGCATGGAAATGTTTTTGTGATAATGCTGAACTTAATGATTATGAGGCAATTTATTGGAAAGCATATTTCTTAGAAACAGGCAAAGCCAATGAATCAGGAAAGCCAACTCATGAAGATATTGAAGAAGCAACTAAACTATATAAGATTGCAGCTGATAATGGTATAGCAGATGCACAAACACAATACGCACTCATAATATATAGAAAGGATAATACATTGTATGTCGAAGAGTATAAGAAATATTTACATCTTGCTGCTAAAAATGAAAATGTCATTGCATTATTTAAATTAGGTCAATACTATCTTTCAGGATTTCAAGGTCGTGATCAGAATGCAGATCTGGCTAGGCAATATCTTCAATCTGCTGTTTTGCAGAATTACAATGAAGAAGTTAGTAGAAGAGCCATAGAATTGATAAATAATATGGAAAAAAATGATACTGAAAAAACTGTAGAGTCAAAGAAAATTTGATTCATTAGAAAATTTTATTTATAATGTAATCTTAAATTTTATTATCATTCTTTTTTTTTAATTTATTTCATAGAAAATAAAGTTTATTCATTTATTGCAAAAAACTCTGTCCAACAAAGCTCTTTGACAACTGATTTCAATAATCTACAACAACACAAATAAATCACTTGTTTGATAATAAAAATTTTATAATTAACACAATCAATAAATTTCCCAAACAATAAACTAATAATAATATGGACAAAACATAACGTTGAAATATCAGAAAATACTGGTGATTATGTTAATCGTGACTGTGGCTATAAAACAATATACGCGTAACAAAAAATAGTATAAAACGTCGAGGTTGGAGTTTTTTACATGTTATATATTAAAGATAAAAAAAAACATTGTAAATTTTTCAGCGAGTTCACATAGAACAACTTAGACTAGGAATAAAAAACTTTGATATTTATTCATTTATAATTTTACAACAATACTCGAGTTTGATTTTCAGATGACATTAATTAATATTTCAATGGCGCCTTTTATCTCCATTAATAAAGCAAATCTGAACAATTAAGGAGATCAGAATTAAAAAGATGCAATTAGTAATAACTACACTGATAATTAAATGATATTAATTGTCGATTGACACCATCACCAATCATCTTTTTCAACGTTAATAATACATTACAATCAAATTCACTATATCTAATGATATTTTTGGAACATACCATCATCATCATTATTTTTTTAATGATGATGATGATGATGACGACGACGACATGTTGATGCAGCTACTAACCAATAATCTTATACTAACATATTAATAATATTAATAATAGAGCACATTTAAATAAACAAACAAAAAAAGAAGTTACGTGCACATAAACAATCAATTGAATTATTAAGGTGTTTTTAAAAAAAGTGATGACGATGATAAGGTCGGAAAGAATTGAAGGAAAAGTAAAAAAGATTCGAGATTTGTCCAAGGCTAAAGAAACAAAGAGAGTTAGAAGAAAGGAATCAAAAATCGCGGAATTAGAGATTACAAATATACAAGAACGAAAAATAGTGGTTTGTGGCAGTGTTAGAAGAATTAGGATTTGCTAGTGTAACTTTGATGGATGTACACATGGCTCGATAAATACATAGAAATAAAGTTGATAAAAACTTGTAAAAAAAGATTAAATATTTTGGTACTTTCTATACTTGTATTTAAAAACAAGCGTTCTTTTAAATTGATGCTTTTTTAAATTTAAATTTTCCAATTAAATTAATTATTGTTGGTTTATCATACAAAATATAAAATTTTTATTTTTGATCAAAAAAACAATTTTGCGAAAAATGTCATCGCTGTCTACTGAAAATTCAAAAATAGACATATTATCACCTACTCTTAATAAAAATTCAAAAGACAAAGAAATTGTTTTAAAACCTAATGTTGATAACGAAAGTAATTGTAATAACAATGATAATGATGACAGTAACACCAATAACACCAGTAACAACAACGATAATACTAGTACAGAAGAAAGGAACTTAACGTAAGTTAACAGTTACCAATTTTCATTGGAACAATCTAATTCATTGATCGTAACCACCTCGCTTCCCATAATAATTTCATTGATATATTTTGTGTGAAATCAAAAATAAGACCAAAAAAATTCAACTATATGTATTTTGGTTCTGGTATTTGAAAAATTATATCAGACGTCATCATCCTGGTCATTTTCGTGATGATCCTGTTGGTTTTATGATGGAGATGGGAGCATTCTATCAAGGAACGGTATGTTAAAAATTAAACGTGCTTCTCGTTTATATTTATTATATTTTTGTGTACAACTCAAAGACAATAAATTCGATTAATATTCATGCAAATTCAATTATAAAACCATTTATACATATATTTAAAATTAGGGATGGAGAAGCTACAAAAATTATATTGGTGCTCGGATATTGTATGACGGGTACACTGAAGAAGTAAAAGAACGGATATTGAATAGCGAACGCGGTAAAAAGGAGCTTCTAATATTTGATATAATAATCCTTTCTATCAAATGATTAAGAAGTAGTTTTAGAAATAATTGATTAATTGATCCATATAATCTTTTTTTTATTTTTTATGTTGTATAGTTCTTTATATGATCACTTATTTAGCTGAAAAACAACCAAATATTCTTGGTCCTAATGCAACCCCAAAAATGATTGCTAAAAGAAAAAGTTTATTAAAGAAAGAATTACAAGATGTGGCAGATAAAATGGTGGATAAATTAGTGGCCGACCTAAACAGTTTACGTTTTATTAGGTTCGATCCATCTTCACTCTATCTGTTTATATATTATCCAAGATAAATAGAGAGACATATATATAATCTGTGTTGTATTAAATATTTCTTCATAGACTTTTTGGTTTTTGTATAAATAATATACTGGTGAGAATGTACCATCAAGGAGTTCACATTTCTGAACGAGAGTTCCTTGAAGTAAGATTTATAAAAAAAATTTTATTATTAATATACTTAATATATAATAATAATTGTTTTATTAAAAAAACCGTTTATTTGTTTATTTATTCATTTATATGTGTCAATAATAAATTTTTGACGTATTATAGGTTCGTAGAGTGGCCATTCTAGCAGCTGAAAATTCTCAATCTCTTATAATCCTTCCGTCCCACAAATCTCATATAGATTATCTTGTTATATCTTATATATTTTTTCGTTTAGGTCTAGCGTTGCCACATATTGCTGCTGGTGATAACCTTGATATACCTGTTGTTGGTGGAATTTTGAGAAGTGGTGGTGCATTTTTTATTCGTAGATCTTGGGGTGAAGATCAACTTTATGGTAGTGTTGTAAAAGAGTATGTGGAAGGATTGCTGGAACGTGGTCATAATATCGAATGTTTTATTGAGGGTACAAGGAGTAGGACTGGAAAACTTTTACCTCCTAAACTTGGCATTTTGAAAATAATTTTAGATTGTATATTATCTGGAAGGGCAAAAGATTGTTGGATTGTGCCAATGTCAATTCAATATGATAAAGTGATTGAAACTGAATCCTATGTTAATGAATTGTTGGGTAATCCAAAAGAACGTGAAAGTTTATGGGGAATTATGACAAATACTAGATTATTGCAATTAAAATGGGGAAGAATTGATGGTAATTATTAGTTAAATCTAAAATTATTTATTTATTTATTTATTTAAAATCACATTTAATTGTTTGCCATACATATATTAATTTTATTTCTTTTAGTACGATTTACTAAACCATATTCTCTAACAAATTTTATTAATGAACAAATTGAACGTAGAAAGTAAACTATATTGCTTATATTATTTATTATTTTACACAAGTCATTCATTAATAATTCAACTAATCAATAAATCAATTATCACTTTTACAACTTTCTATCATACATATATATATTCATTCCAAATAGGTCATTTAATCTTCAAACTGAATCACAAAAAATAATTTTACTACAAGCTTTAGGCTATCAGTTAGTAATTAAACATTTTCAAATCAAGTTTTATAATTAAATTTGATTTTCACAATATTTATTTTTCTAATAATATTTTATTTATTTATGATCAGGGTTTTGTCTGATATTGTATGCTTTAATTTCGCATATTTAAAATAAATAACCCTACCTTCTTTTAAAAAAATTTTTCTATTTCTTATTTTATTAATCATCTTGGTCTCATATTTATAGAACTCGGTTTCAGTTGTTATGCCTACAGCTTTAGGTATTTAATACAAAATATTTATTATTATTATTATTATTATTATTATTATTATTATTATCTGGTTTCTATAATAACTAAAATATATTCATGGATGTATATTAAATGAAAAGTTGGAACTGTGATATTGACTCTTCGTGGACGTGTAAGAATTTTCATTATATATATGGAGAGTAGCTGTGTTAATAAGCATAGAATAATAAATAAATAATAAGGTTGTTACTGTTTTTAAATATTAGGGAGTTGGCAGAATTGAACTTATTAGACGTGTTAATTGGTTGAAAGCTGCAGTTTTAGCTAAAGGTGGACGAGTAGCTGATTTTGGTGGCAAGACAACTGGTGAAATTGTTGACCGGTAATTAGTATGCCTATCATTATTGATTTTTTATCATTATTTTCTAATATTGACAATAACAACAATAATATAATAATAGTGCAGTAAATGTTTTAAAAGATTTAATAAAAGAACGAAAAGATTTGTTAGAACCTATTTTTTATGCAGAGAAAAGGTTTGAATTAAGTTTTTATCGTAATCAGGTAAACAAAATAAATCATTTAATATTTACATGATAAATACAATCAGAACTTATATTTATATTTATTATTCATATTTATACAGGTGATGCATCTTTTTGTATCTGAAGGTAATAAATCTATCCATATGATACTGAAATTCACTTAAACATATAAATCATATAGACATATATCTGTGTGTGTGTTTCTCTATTTTTAATTCGTTAAAATTAGCAATTGTGTCAGCTGCCATGTACACAAAGATAAAACAAGGAGGAGCAAAATCTACACAACGTCTTCACCGTAGTTTACTCTTAAGGGAAGTCTCGTTCCTTTCACAATTGCTTAAAGTGGAATTTGTTTATGATCCTGGTGAATTGGATACTAATTTAAATATTACATTACAAGGGTTACAAGTACATATATAATTAAACTTTTAAATTTTATTTAATAATCGTGGTAAATTTTTTTTTTTAAATAATAAACAATACCAATAATAATTATAATATTATTAGAATGATAATGTTTTCACATTCGATAAAGAAGGATATGTTGAATTAACAGAAGCTGAAAGAGCTATAGGACGTGAGAACTATGGTAATAAAATCAATAATTTTCTTCTTTTTGTTTGATTAATTTAATCACGCTAATTAAGATATTATCGTTGTCATTTGAAGATTTTTATTGCTTTTTAATATGGCCTTTTATTGAAACATATTGGTTAGCTGGTAAGATAATTCATTGTTTCATATATGATGACGACATATTAATTATCTAATATTCATGAATATCCATTTAATGAAATAATAGCTGTCAGTTTATTCTCCATGACACCAACAAGTAATCCTTCCCAAGAAACTTCTATAACAACAGATACCAGAACAACAGCATCTATAACTTGGTTCAATGAGAGTGATTTCCATAATAAATGCCAGATATTTGGTAAAACATTATATTATCAAGGAGATTTATCGTATTTTGAATCGATAAACAAAGAAACTTTAAAAAATGCTTTCATAAAACTTGAGGATGAAGATATAATCAGGGTAAAACGTAGTCGCAATACGAAAATTATGACAACAGTAGCATTGCATCCTGATTATGTGCCTACAAGAAATAAAGAAGGCGCAATAGAACCTAAAGGCAATTTATGGGATTTAGTAGAGAGAATAGGTAAATTTCGTAGAGAAGGCAAAAATCGTAGAGACAATGCTACTGTAAGTTCTAGAGTTTTAAGTTTGGTAGAAAAAGTTGGAACTCCATCAACGGCTGATGTGGCAGTTATGGCACCTATAATGAGTAGGCCTGTTAAAATTGGGAAACCAGAATCAAAACTTTGATTCTCTATTAAAACGAGAATATTTATTTATTTATTGTATTTTTGCTTATTTATTATTACTATTCTTGTTGTTGTTCAAATTTTTCGTCAATTCATTGTTTGTTATATATAGATGAATGTTATATTAACATTATAAAAAAAAATAAAAACAATCTTTTTTTCATTAGTGTTAGTGTTAGTGTTAGTGTTAGTGTTAGTATTAGTACTAGTCGTGTAATTTGCACAAAGAGTCTAATGTGCACAACGTTGCAACTGATCAACAAATCTTTATAAGACGTCATGTGATATTTGTTGGGTCAGAAAAGACATTCAGATGGACCTTAACATTTTTTTGTTATTTGAATACGAATTTAATGATAATTTTTTAAATTTATTAAGATCTAAATCCTACAATGGCAGATCCACGAGATACTAATCAAACGGGAAGTCACTCTTTATTGGCTAAATTAAGCGGGCCTGGTAAAATCAATTAATTTTGTTTAAAATTAAATCCTCTAGTATGAAGTTTTAATTTATGTGTGCATATACATACATACATATATACATTTAGATTCAATTTTCGAACAAGATGCTCTTGATACATTAATAGAATACATTACTTTAACCCAAGATACAAAAGGAGTTTTTGATATATTATCATCCTATTACATAGGGACACCATCAAAGATTAAATATATGAAGCAATTGTATGATTTATATGTTAAGGATGAGACTGATCCTCAAAATATTATGCATGAAGTATTAAAAGAAATAGTAATTGAAAATTATGACAATGAAAAAATGGATAATGCATTGAAAAATGATAGCGAGGTTAACGAGCTATTTTAATTGATTATTATTATTATTATTATTATTATTATGAGTTATGATTATTGAATTTATATCAAATAATTATATATATATATATTTGATTTAGGATTTGAATCCTGTTTTAAAGCTTATTGATAAACCTTTTTGGCGTAAAACTATTTATGATTTATCGGATAAATATCCAGATAGCTATTTTCTTAATTCTGTAATTCAGGTGAGATTTTTTTTTTTATTTAATTCTTTTTAAAGAAGCTAATATTGAAATTCATTTATTCTTTTCTTAAAGAGAATTGCAGATAAAGGGTACACAGACGAAATCAAAAATCTTAAAAGTGCATCAGCATATGTTAGTGTTTATTCCAAGGTCATACTTAACCAATTTAAAATATTACTACTTAAAGATGATGATGCTAGTTTAAATGTAGAAATACCAGAACTAATGGTTAGTATTTGAAATTTATTTAAAAGATTTTATAAATTCATCAATTGTGTTTATTGATAATGTTTAGATGTATGCTAATATTATTAATAATAACATAGAAAACTGTTAGTTTAAATCCCCATACATATATTTTTGTTCAAGCATTGATAAAACGTATAATTCAATCAATGAACGGGTATGCTTTTAGAAGAATTTATAAAGAATTAGAAAAGGGTATTACGCGAGTTATTAAGTAAGCATATTTATTTATTTATAAAATTTAAAATTATTTTAATAACCTTAAAAAAAGAAATTATTAAATAAATAAATAAATAAATAAAATATATTCTCAGTAAAGATCATGTTCACATTTTGAGAACTTTAGTTATGGCACCTCCAGCTCAAATTTCATCAGCTATAGCAAAAATACCACTAACGCCTGGCGATGTGGTGGCGGTATATTAATTAGAACATAATTTTAAAATTTATATTGTTGTAAACATTTGTTTGACTAAATTATTTTTTAAAATTATTTAGTTGCACAAGTCATATTCTTCTCCAAATCCTCCGCCGCCCGTATTCCTTCGAGATCCTCAATTATTATGTACGTATGCGATTATCTTTATGATTTCATTTTTTTTCCATTTTATATTAGCTCATATATATTTATTATTTTAATATCTCATACAAATAAAATTTAAATGTTAAGATTTTATTTTAAATGCGATATATGTTCCCTCTGAACAAAACAAAAATTTCAAGCAAGACCTTAAAGAAAAATATCTATATTTAGCAGCTTTTGCAGCAAGTGCAAAAGATCTTCCGGATGGAACGGTAAGTTTTCAGAAAAATCCTCTCATTGATCTTTAACATTACTTGCGTATATTTTATTTATTTCTTAATTGGATTTTTTCGATGCTATATTAATTTAGATAGACACTTCAAAAGTCAATGACACATTGATAACTTTAAAAAAACTTGAAACCACTGTAACAAGAAGAGGAGTTACCGGTGTGGAGTTTAATTCTGTTGTTAAGGATTTTCTTGAATATATGGAGTAAGATTAATAACTATTTTTTTTAAAAAAAATAAAGAATCAAAAAAAAAAAAAAATAATTCTAATTAAACAAACCAATGATTTTACAGTAAACCAGTAGCATCAATGGGAATTATTTTTTGGATCAGACATGTCCTTCGGGATACTTCATTTTACGAGAAACATTTTAAACAAAATGAAGTACCGGTTCCCCATTTAATACTTGAGGAGGTACATTTTTAATTTTTTTAAAAAAATATATTTATTGTTTATATATTTTAATCAAGATAACCAATAATTATATAAAATAAAGATCGCTTACAGGCATTCATATCAAAGAAATCATATCTTTAACGCGTTTAAAGGAGATTTGGAACTGGATAGTTTGAAAGTAACTCCGGAGATGATGGTTCGTGATTAACCATTATTAAGTTTATTTTATGTATTTGTCGTGAAATATTTACACAATTAATTTTTTGGGGGATTTTTAGTTTTTAATTCGACAACAATTACTGGATAGATTTCTCTATTTGGTTCAACTAGGGTTCGTTATGCAAGTTTTACAATATATGGAGTCAATGATTAAAGGATTAGACGAAAGATTGTTGTTTTATTTTGTTAGAAAGGTGTATATTATATGACAAATATATAGTTAATTAATTATCTCACTCTTGAAAAGATTAATTAATATAATACTTGAAATTATTTCAGTTGATTCAAATGAGTGGCCCTCCATATAACGACCAGTTTTATGGCTCGGTTCTGAGATTACTTGAACCGGTTTCTGTTTTGATGGAGAGTAAATTGGAAACAAGACCATTACTTAAACAATTTATTAGTAAGACTTCAATTTCTTTATCTTTTTAATATATTCGAAAATTTATACATTATTTACATACATTGTTATTAATAACAAACAGATGATGCACCACGAATAAATAATCGAGAGTCTTTAAATATCATTGACAGAATTAAAAGATTGATCGATTAAGAATTTTTTTATTCAAAAATATTATTTTTTTTCTATAAACAATTGTTAATTTTCATTTATAATAAAATGTTTTTTTTATTAGACGATTCATTTTTCTTTAGCTTTTGGGCTACTTTTATCAGTGTTTGTCAATTAATAAGTTTATCAATTTACTCATGACTGATTTATCTCATTTATAAAACAACTTAAGCAGCTTGTTTTAACAACCTTAAGTTTACGATTACAATAGCCAGTATTTCCAATTAACCTTTGGACAATATTTCACTAACCGTCACTAGTTAACCAAAGTTAGTCCGGTGTCGTTCATTTCATTTATGTTTTCTTCCAATGATTATTATCTAATTTGTTTTCAATTGTAGAGATATTTTCAGGATTTATTTCATCATTGCCAATACGTTATCGACTTTCAAAGTTAATGCAGATTTAGTTAATTCATGATCAACTATTTCGTTTGTCCTGTTAGTGTTTGAGTAGTGGAACAAGAACATTCTTCCGATTAGTCATGATCGTTACCAATAATTCTTGGGCCAATTCCCAATGATTCAGTTGGGTAAATAAATTCATTGTATAAATCATTCAATTTGTTAAGATTCATATCTCTCGAGTAGTCCGATCTCTCGACGTTGAATTAGCCTTATAAATGTCCGTCTATTAATGTTGTTTGACGAAATGTTACCAAAGTTGTAAAACTATTACGTCGCTGCCATGAAGCCAAAAATGGCATAAGTAAAATTGCTTTAAAGGCTAATAAAATATAAAAGCTCACAAAAAAAAAACTTATAAATATATATTCCAAGGTCTTGTTTTTTATATTTTTCTTGCGTGTCTCAATCTTTCCTTTGTTTATGCTGAGGTAGATAAAATCATCGATTAGGGATTCGGTACTTTATTATAGTGTAAGTAATTATGGAAGTTTTTATAACATCAATATTGATTAATTAAGTTACTTTGCAATAATAATAATCACATCCTTATATTTATCCTTATTGTATTGATCAACGAAAATTATAACTACACAATTATCTCGCAGAGGGTAATTAAACATTATAATAAATAAAACTCTGTTATTAAATAAAATTATTGTTAATAAACTTTTTAAAAATAAAAGTAAAATAAAAAACATTGTCTTTATTTTCTTTGTTTAAAGCGCTTTGATAAAAACAACAAGTGTAGTTAATGCCTTGGTAAAAGGTAACAATTGTGGAGCTTTGATAAAAAGCCGCATTTATTTCCTAGCAAGGTTACGGTTAACTTGCGAGTGTCAGCAACTATTAGTAACGTGATTTGCTTTAGTGAGTAAGCAAAGGTTTGGGTTAACTAGTGAGTGTTAATGAAGTATCGTCCAAAGGTTAATCGGAAATGATATGTAAGGCCGTTAAACAAGCTACTTAAATTGTTTTGCAATCGTCCAATAAATGTAAACAAGGGTAAACGACTGAAATAAATCGATCACAAGTGAATAAAAGAAACTTTATAGAAGCCCTTGAGCTTTGTAAAAGGCCATCTTTATTTATTTACAGTTATCTGGTACCATTGAGTGTGCTCGTAGATTCGTCTAGGTACAAGAAAGAGTAAATTCGTAAACTAATTAATTGACAAGCACCGAATTATTTGACAAGAGTACCTCAAAAGCTAAACCATAATTGTTATTTAGCTGAAATGATGCGTTGCAATATCACCCACCATTTAACAAGAGATCAAAAAACTGTAAAAAGTTTATTATTTCAAAACATTAGCTTTGAGAAACAAAATAAGGATAAAATAAATAAGTAAATAAAAAGATAATAATAAATTTATTCTTTTACTGTTAATTAATTAATTAATCAATTAATATTGCTAGATAATTAATTAATGGATAGTAGTTTCCAATTGATTAATGTTGAAATTTTTATTCGCCTTTGTTAACGTTTTAGAGAAAAGAGTCAAAATCAAGATTATTTAACGAACCATCGTTACTTGAGCATAGTGGAAGTTTGTTGTTACACGAAACTTTATACAGAACTCATTGTTTCTGAAACTTCGCCAGTATATAGTTGTTACCTCTCTAAATTGGAGATCAAGTTCAGATCCAATTTCAAATCCAGTTTACCATTTACTTTTTATTGCTAGAATGTTTGCTGTGTATTGTAAAGCTACGTTGCACAATATAAAAAATTAGTGTAACATTTCAAATTTCCACTATGCTTTCTCGTCATCAATCACACACATGAATTATTTTTTTCGTAATGAAATATACAATATTAAATTTTTTTATTTTAATAAAAATATTAATGTAAATGTGAATGATGATAATAATAATATAATTTTATAGAAAATGAATGAATCAGCAATAAAATAATTTACATATGAATAACAGAGAAAAATTTTTTAAAATTATATTTTCTTCTTTTTCATCCAAGATTCGTCTCAGTTCACACCACTAGAGTTTAAACCTAACCGTATTTAATTTAATTCAACGTAGTTTGCTGGGAACTTTTTATAAAATAAAAATAAAAATAAAATAAATATTAAAATATTATTTTCAAAGAAATAAATTCCGGTTTAATAATAAAAACACTTACAATTCCTTCTTTTCCTTTACATTTACCAGTCCACCAATCATTAGTACTTTCTGATTGTTTTGTAATAATAATAACATCACCTTTGCTGAAGGTTAAATCACCATCTTGTTCTCCATCAAAGTCATATAAGGCAACAGCTGTTTGTTGTTTTTTACGCGGTGGAATATTAGGTTTAGGAGCTATTGGTGGCGGTTTAGATGATGACTTTCTATTTAAACTATTGCTACTAATACGATTATTAAACTCATTTGACAAAGACAATGCACGTTGGACATCTTTTGCATTTGATTCGGAATAACTTGGCTTCTTCTTAATTGATGATGATGAAATGCTATTATTATCATCGCCATCGTCGTTGCTGTCATCTTTATTATTATCAAGTCTATCTTTGTATGTTGATGACGACAATGATGTCGAACCGCTGTATCGATTTTGATAAGAGTTATTTTTTGAAGCAGATGTTGATAAAGAAACTGATCGACTCAATTTTGGAGGCTCATATTCTTCTCCATAAACTGGTTCATCGTTATATTGTGTCTCACCATAACTGTTACTACGTGAAGCTTTTGCATTAAGTGCTCGATATAAAATGTCAGCTTGGGGTGGCGGCGGGATTTTTCCTGATAGAAGTTCTTTTGCTGATACTTTAGAATGATAGAATTTGGAATTTGTATCTTTACGTTCCACAATTATTGAACCTTCAATTGATACACCTGCACATATGACAAATTATTATTATTGTAATTATTATTGACGACTTTAATAATTTTCAAATAATAATTTTTTTTCATAAACAAAAAAATAAACAAATACCAGCAAATAATCCTTTTGTTTTGCTATTTAATTAATTACGTGTATATATACATATATACACACATTATTATAAATAACTATACAAAATAACTAAAATGACCAGTTGCCACTTACCTATAAGAAAATATAGCTGCAACATTTCCAAGCGAAACTGAACTTGCTCCTTCAGCTGTCCTTCCAACGGGTCCGGCAGCAACTTTTTTATTTCAATAATTTAGAACCAAAATATTAGTAAATATTGATTTATATATATATATATATATATATATATATATATATAACACAATACGTACCAGATCTAATTGAAAATTCAGAAAAAAGGATTTAACAATTGAAATTTTTTTTAAAATAACTGAAATAGTAATAAATTACTTACAAATTTCCTCCTAAAGTGACGTTTCCACCATTCATAAAAGATCTAACTGCGTCCTTACTATTTAAGACTATAACAAAATCTGTAAGTTCAGCACCAATTTGTCCACCAACTCCCTAAACGTAATTATAAATATAAATAAATTAGCATGAATAAATGATATTTATTACTTGTACTTAACCTTAATTGTCATTTGATTACAATAATTTATAATGTAATTAATAAACTCACCATTCCACCAATATTAATTGCAGAGGGAGCAGACCATGCTGATCAATCAAAAATGAAGTCAATAAAAAATGTATATAGATAAATAGATAAATCACAGATCATAAATTACTTACATCCATTTTCAAGCCTAATAATACATTATGAAAATATTTATAAAATAAATACTATATAATTAAAAAAAAACAATATTCTATTCATAATATATTAATACCTTGCTACAACTAGTCCAGATCCACATCTTCCTGAAAATAAAAATCCAGCTTTGATTACTGTAAATATTGCAAACCCTTTTGCTCTTTGTAAAATATTTGGTGGTATAACTTTGTCTGGTCCCTTTTTCCAAATAAATTTTTTTTATAAGATTATTATTTTTTCATTAATTAATTAATTTTCTTTTATAAAAGTTGACTTACTTTTGCTGCAACTGGATCTAATGAAAATAACAATAAAATATAAAAATGTTAGAAAAATTTTTTTTTAAAGTAGTATTGAACTTATTATTTACACATACCAATAAAGCTATTCAAGATTTTAGAAGCTTTTTTGCATTCACCTAATTAACCAAATTTGAAAAACATTGTAATTAAACAATTGATTTTAGATGTGGGTGCATCTATATATACACTAATGATAATGATATTGAACCTGCAAGATCTGTTGGTAAAGGGGAATTGACCATTTTGAAATTTATGACTTAATATTATTTTGTTTATATATATAGAGAAATAATAAATAGAGATTGAATAGGGGAAAACCATTCAGGAGATAAATATATTTCTATCTTGGCTAGAAAATGCTTGCGTTACAGCATGACATCAAAATGCAGGTAACATCATTAATGATCCAATGATTTCTTATTATGGGAAGAGTTACAACGAATTAAGGCTTCATATGTCATAATGGTTTTTTATATTGCAATCAAAAAAATCTATTAAATAACATGTGCAGATAGAATTTTTACATCATCTTTTGGACTAAGAAAAAATTAAAAAACTATTTTAATGAAAATTAAAATTTTCAAG